TCTCAAATAGCTTCTGACAACTAAGCCGAGCTCCAAGCCAGAGAATGGGTGAAGGCGGGAAACTGGTGCCTCATAAACAGTTGATTCAAGTAGCTGAAGCTCAACAGTCCAGGAAGGCAGTTGATCTTGGGGAAGGAAAACCCTTGCAGTCATATCCAAACAGAAATGGAAAAGACTATGAAAGTAAGTCCAGGCAGGAAAGCTGGAGGCGGGCAATTGGCTGTCAACACTAATAACTTTTTGACAACTTCTGCAGCTAAGCCGTCCCCAAATGTAATGCCCTATATTCCTTTGGATCTTGTCAGTATGGCCAAGAGGCAGGGGAGCACACAGCCTCCATATACCCTTATACAAGTCTGCAGCTTGGAAAGTTCAATCCAGTCTTACTACCAAAGGACTGAATTTTGACAAAACAGGTCGCTACTTTTATCTCATGAAATAAAATGATGCCTACAACATTATATATATATATATATATATATATATATATATATATATATATATATATATATATATATATATAAACACCCAACACACACCTACCCAATTTAAACAATTCACCCTAGCTGTTACCATGGAAATTTTGATTTCAATTATTAAAACACGTAAATTTCTGAAATAAGTTATTCCAAAAAAATTTTCGCTTGAAGATGGAACGAGCTTTCTTTAATTCAATTTAATTCAAATAATTATATTTCTTTTTTTTGGCTCTTGTTTTGAAACATGAGACCTCTTATGTCGCGAGTTGGAATCATATTTTAAATTAATAATTAAATATAAATATATATATATATATATATATATATATATATATACACACACACACACACACACGCTCACACTCATTTTGGGACCTAATGTTCATCTCAAGACTTTAGAAAAGAAAATCCCTATTTTAGATTCTACTTCAAACTCTAATGTGATTTTTGTTTTTTGATAACTTTCTTTGTAATGCTGTCGCATTAATTCATAAAGTTTCAAAAAATGGATATTCTTTGCCAAGATCCACAGGCATCCATCACTCAAAGTCGTTTTTAACCATTGATCTTAAAAAGCAATTGTATACACCTGATAGTTTAGATATTTCTGGATGGCTTAGACATCATTCATATGAAAGTCCATCTTATGATCTTATTTAAGAACAAGACTAAAGACCATCATAAAAACATCTCTTGTTATGACTCTAAAGTCTGATTATAGGAAAATTCAAATATTATTTTTGTTTATATGAAAACTTCAAGAATAAAAAAAAAAAAGAAGAAACTTGTATCTGGTTTAACAAAAAGAATTAATAAATTTTCTTTTGTAGTAATTTGAACCTCTTAAAATATACCCAACTCTTGTTTATAAATGTTTTATTTAAAAAGAAATCAGTATTTTTTTTTTTTTTTTTTGCATGATCAGAAGAATGTTTCAATTTATCTACCACATTTGCATTTGCCAACGTTTTCTAAAAATGTCATAATTATTTTCCATTTATATTTTGACCGATTGTCTTCATCATTAACAATGTTTCATCGAATATGTCAATCCTCCATACAACCTGATATTTTTTTTAAGTTCTTTTTTAAGATATTTTTTGTTTTAGTTCTAACTTTAATCATTTTCATTATCCAATGCTTACATTTCTCATCTTTTTTTTTTTTTTAACTATAACATTCCAGCCATTTTCAATTTTATCTTCTCTCTAATTTTTAGAGTTAGTTAATTATTTCAGATTGGGAACTATTATTTTCATATTTGCTGTTTTGTTAAGAAACAAAAAAACTTCCAGTCAATACATTCTTCAGACTTTTTGTGTTGTTTGAAATTCAGTGATGAAGTTGTTGACCAGTGTTCATTTTGTTGCTGGCTACAAATTCCAGATATTCTCTCCACTCCCCCACCCCCGGAAATGTTCTTCTGCTCTGTGCTTCTTTCGCATTCTGTTCTCAAGGGCAGACTACCTAAGATGTCTTCCGCTTAATCACCGGTACAAGAGCGATAACTCCTTTTAATAGAAATTTTCTTTTTCAAAAGTTTCATTATCAATATGTGTATTTTCCTAGTTTTGAACTCTCAATTCTGTCAATTACTATGGGCTTGGTTAAAAATCGATGAATGATGACAAAATTTTCCTTAAATTGAATCTTTAAACATTGTAATATATCAATAAAGTTACACAATTTTATTACTCTGATTTTATATATATATATATATATAAGCAAATGTAAATGGATATAGATCCGACAGAATGAAGAAAAATTTGGAAAAAACAAACAAAAATCCTTAAATGCAATTATGTTGTTTAAAATGAATGAAATGTCGACGTCTGACGTTTCGGTTTTAAAAATTTTCAGTTATCTGTTTTGGATAAGACTTGTTGTTTATGTCCATCGTCTTTGTCAAATTGAACTGAATTGTATTTTAATGAATATTGTCTTGAAAAAGGTTTATTAAACCGAAACGTCAGACGTCGACATTTCATTCATTTTAAACAACATAATTGCATTTAAGATTTTTTGTTTGTTTTTTTCCAAATTTTTCTTCATATATATATATATATATATATATATATATATATATATATATATATATATATATATAAAATGATTGTTAATCAAAAATGCTTCCCTTCCTTGAGCAAAAAAAAAAAAAAAAAACAAACAAACAATTTTTAAATATATCCTCTGCATCATATCACAAAGGTTTTGGTTTGCTAGCATTTATGGTGATAATGACTGATAACTACATTCTTTGGCCACGTCAGGCCCAAGGTGATCTCAGCATGAAGAGTGCCTTCCACTTTTAGTGTTCAATTCCCATATTTTGGTGTGACTTGTAGTTGAAATTGTTTCTTATTTCTCAATGGCACAGTTGATAAGCATTGAAAGTTCTGCTTTCTTATCTTCAGCCATTGTGAAACTAAAAGCTAAACTTGGTGAATTTCTTGACACCTCGTACTCATGTTGCCTTTAGCTCTTCTTTATTTATAGTTGAATGTATCAATAACTCCAAAATGAATTGGTAACTTTTGTTATTATTGTCAGACACTTCCATATCCCCTAACACTTTTGTTTACTGTGACTTTGTATAAAAAAAATATTAAAAAACTCAAAATTTCAGCAAAATTTTTATATTTTTTGAAAAACTAGTACCATTATTTTAATTAGTACATTTTTTATTTTAATTTGTATCTCTAATTTTTTTTATTGATTTTTACCTAAGTTGTCAGTTTATGGCAGTGCGCAGATAGATTGACCCTTGTAAATTTTCCTTCAGTTCATTTATTAGTTTATCTTTCTTCCTGCATTTCTCTCTTTCTCTTCTCTGCCTGCCTACCTTTTCATATTCTTGCCTTACTAAATCCTTTCTCTTTTTTTTCCCCATTTTTTTTCATTACTGATGGATATTGACTAGGAAATAATTTTATCCATTTTTCTCTTTTTTCTTTTTCTTTCCTAAATTTAATTAAAGAAAAAGTAAAAAATAAATTTAAAAAATTAGACAAAAGAATTTTCTTTTATGAAGTTGCTTGATTTTAATTAAAATTCAAAATGAGTATGTTCAGGATATAGCATCAGCTTTAAAATTACATTTTAAGTAGATTTAGGAAATTTATTAAGGTTGATTTTTGCCTTACAATTCTGTTAAATAAGATTGACATTTAAATACTGCAGATCCAAGTATAAAAGACAGACTGGAAAATGTGGCCTAAAATGCAAATGGAGAATCAGAAAATGTGGCCTAAAATGCAAATGGAGAATCAGAAAATGTGGCCTAAAATGCAAATGGAGAATCAGAAAATGTGGCCTAAAATGCAAATGGAGAATCAGAAAATGTGGCCTAAAATGCAAATGGAGAATCAGAAAATGTGGCCTAAAATGCAAATGGAGAATCAGAAAATGTGGCCTAAAATGCAAATGGAGAATCAGAAAATGTGGCCTAAAATGCAAATGGAGAATCAGAAAATGTAGCCTAAAATGCAAACAGAGAATCAAATAGAAAATAATAAAAAGATGTTATTCTTTTGAAAACAAAAAAATCTTTTAGAAAAACGAAATTTTGGTGGAAGAGTCAAATAGAACATTTTAAAACCAGTTGAAAACATCACAGAAATGTTAAAATGCAGATTCCATTGAAAACTGAAATATTTCTATCTTTTTTTTGCATTTTTATCTGTAATAGGGATTTTTTTTATCTTTTATTATCTTTATTGTTCTGACTTATCCATGCTTATGTGATTATTTAGCCTAAATTCAGCATTTATTTTATTTTTTCTTTATCTCTCTCTCCTCTTAAGCTTACCTTGAGGCTAACATTACAAACAAGCGTTTTCTTCTAAAGTGTCTTGTAAGATCTTTCAAAGAAATAGTAATAGACTTGAAAAGAATAACAGCAATCCTTCTTTCTTTTTACTGAAAAACTGAAATGGTAATTGTTTATATCATTGTGCACAAACAATAAATTACATAAAACAAAACCAACCATAGAAAAATGGCTGTGCAATACTCTGTCCAGAAAAAGAAGAGGCTCCATATAGGGCACATTTCTATCCTGCACTCATACCTACTAAAGGGGAAGGAAGACCCAATGTCCATGACATGCCAAGTACACAGTGGCAAATAAAATATTTACCCACATATATTATTGTATATAATTTGTATATTTAATACTTTTCATAGATTACACAAATATTACACTTTAATCTTGGACAAAGGACTGGGGAATGACTCTACCTTTTAGAAAGGACTCCAACCTTTTTTTTTGTTTTTTGTTTTTGTGGGTACTGTGCTATTTTAATGTGCTCTTCTTTTTAATTGTAATTAGTGAAAGTTTTTTTTTTAATATTTGAATGTAAGTTATTGTTCACTTCTTCCCATTTATGCATAGATTTCAATCAAACCAAACTCTGATCAATGGATCTGCCCTGCAGATATTTTCACCTAATATTCATATTTAGCATTTCATTTCTTTTTTTTCTTTCTGTTTATCTTTGTTTTCTTTCTTTCTTTTTATAGATATGTTATTCCAGTTAAAGGTAAGTTTATTCTTTTCTTTTTTTTTTTTTTTTTTTCTTAACTGCATGACACTTTCCTGTTGAGGCATCAAGAAACAGTGTAATGTTTAGGTGTGAGGTGCTTAGGTATTTTTGTTAAATCCCACCAGGAGGTATAGTCATTAGAAGAAACATAAAATCTACAAAGTGACTGTACATTTGAACACATTTTTTTTTTTGTTTTTATTTTTATTTAATTTAAAAGCTTTAAAATAAGCTTCCTAGGTGATTTTCTCTCTCTCTTTTATGACAAGAGCAGGTTATTAGTACATTTTCAAACATCTCTGCATGATAGGACAACATATATATAAGACAAAAAAACAATTACCTTCAGTTGCTTTGTGGATATTTTGAGTCATTAAAAAAAAAAAAAATTATTTCAAAAGGGCAAAAACTACAATACCAAGACAAAATGTGGTCAATTTTAAAAGTGTCAATGTTTGATTTTTACTTATATTGTTATATTTTAATTAGATTTTAATTAATTTGAACTTTTTTTTTTTTTTTTTGATAATTTACTCAAAGATGCATTAAAGTTCCATTGAGGGGCCCCCTACAATTAATGACTCAGCTATTTCAATATATCCTGTTTTTTTATATAAAATTTGTGGTGAAACAAAGTTGAATAATTAAATCATAAAAAACAAGAGTTGAAATTTCAATAACAATACAGTTAAAGTAAAAATTCAACATACAGATTCTAAATATTTTTTCTTTTTAATCATTTCACCCCAAGCAAAGTAATAAAACCACTAAGACACAAGGAGGTTACTGAGTGTAAGAGAATATGAGGAAAAAACATTAAGGAGTGAGAACAATAAAAGAACATGAATTAAGAAGACAGAAGATAACAATTGACATTGCATTTACATTTTGAAGATCAAACTTGACCGGAAAACCAGTAACTGGAAAAGTGAGAAATGTGAGAGAAGAAACTGTTAGCATAGAACTTATGGTTCCATCTAGCAGCCATTACAAGTGTAAAATGACGAGACCTTGCTCAATCTAATACTGTGCATAAATTCATAAAATCTGGATTATTTTTTGTATTTTATCAAGAATCTCCAAATACATAGCAGAAAGCACCAGCAGACCAGGTATGACAGCAATATTTACTGCATCGTTAAATGGTAGACTTATAAATATGTAAGATATATTCTGGCAAGAAAAATCGCTTTGTACAACACAGTGACCCAAATTTCCTGGCAGCAGATCTAGTAACTGATTCAATATAATTTTTTGATTTCATGTTTGCAGAAAGTGTTAGCTCAAGAAGGTGCAGTGATTCACTCTCCTGGAGGTTAGCATCAGCCATGCTGAAGGAAGGCAAAAAAAAAAAGGTTCTCTCTTTTTTGGAGGCATTAAAATTAACAAGCCATTCCTTGTACCATTTAACAACAGCAGCAACAACTATCTGTTACCAATTTGACCTTATTGAACCGATTACTTACTACTAAGATAAGAATTAATATTGTCATCAGCATAGATACCGAGTTGAGAACTGATGGCATCAGGAAGGTCATTGATGAAAATTAGGAACAGCGTAGGTCCATGGTTAGAGCCTGGGGAGCACCCACATTAATGCAAAAAAGTTCTAGAAGCGTGGCTGTTCAAGATAACTTTCATTTCATTATAAGAAAAATTGAATCAGTTCAAAAATTTGTCCAGGCATATAACATTTCAACTTGTGATGAAGATCAGCATGCCAAACCCTGTTAAACATCTTCATGATATCCCAAGCAACAGACTGAGCTTCGTCATTCTTATCTAAAGCTTTTTAGACTCTTTCAGCAACAACCATTAGTATATCATCAGTGGACCTAGAGAAGTGAAAGACATATTGCTTGTCTGAAAAAAAAAGCCCCTGTGAGGTGAGATGCATAACCAATTCCAAATTGATTAGAGCCTCTTGTACTTTTACCAAAAAGAAGTAGCAGGCTAAGAGGCTGATAATTAGAACGATCAGACGTTTTGCCTCATTTCTTAAAGACTGGAACTACAGGAGACGATTTCCAACAAATAGGAAAACAAGAAGAAGCAAAGCATTTATTGTAAAGTTTAGAGAGAAAAGAGAGAGTTCATATTTCTTAAGGACAGGTGCAGGAATACAATGAAGTTCACTTGCTTTGAGAAGATCTGCATATCACTGAATAGAGACTCAGTTCTAAGTGGAAAGTTAGGCAAAGGATACTCTAGATGAGACAAGAATTGAATTTAAAGAGAATTTATGAGCAAAGCATTCTGTTTCATCACAAGAAGATGTTAACACCTCAAATTGAGGAAAGAGATTCAACACACTGTTACAGAGTTTCCAGTAGCCACAAGAACCAAACATTTTATCAGCAAAACCTTATCCTCTTTGAGGACACGTTACAATGGTTACAAGCAGACACAAAGAAATGTCTGTTTTGATCAGAATTATCATGCTGGCATAGCCAGAGAAAGTGATTCTTGTGGGCTCTAGCAGCTGAACAGACTGGTGTGAATTAAGGAGAGGATTGTGGTTTCACGTGATATTTCCAAGAAAGTACAAAAGCATTGGTGCCAACTTTAACCCAAGAAGAAAGCTCTGTAGCACAATTCTCAACAGGAAGCTTAAAACCTTTACCCCATTGAATTCTTTCTAGAATTATCCCCACCCCTGCTACTGCATTTTTTTTTTAATGCAAAAAACATGAGCACCTACTGTTTTAAAATTGTAATAAGTTTCTTCGAATTGTGTGTATGGATTTTATTTTTTGTATATTAATAAAAGCAATATTTTGATGTAATGCATTACAATGCATTTTATTTTGTATGCATGTTTTGACATTGAAATCAAAATTGAAACACAAAATAAAAAAAAACAAAAAATAAAAGACAAATACATTAACAAATTAACATACTTTAACTTTTATTACCCCTCGTGGAGGTGGGGGTTCAATAAGAAGCAAAATGTCTAAGAAGGCTTTCATTTTGTCAAAAAAAGTGACATGCTTCTTTGTGTTTACATATGAGAAGTCACTAACATTTGTTTGGTCTGTTTTTCACCTGACGAGCATATTTATTTATTTCGACAAATAGTTATATTTTTGTTATTATTTTGTTGTTTATAAATAGACAGAATAATTCACCTTCAGAAAGGCTATCAGTATGTCGATGGGGCCAATAGTTTCCATAAATTAGTCAACCATGGGATGATAGTAGCTGCTCAGCACCTAGTGATCATCATTCTTTTCCTTCACGTCACAAGCATTGGTTATCATCTCCCAACCACTTCACTGTAAATATCCACTTGAGTAAAGCCTTCAAAATCATCATCAGAGTCAGAATCAAAGAAAAACTCCTGAATAAAGGCTTTCTTGGATGTTGATGTGGCCATTTTTGTTTACAAAATATTGTGAAAAATTTAATGTGGGTTTAATTGATGGTACACCTCATGTAGAGTGTAGAAGAATTCAAAAGAGTGTTGGAAAATGGAAGTTCAGCCATGCATTGCCAGTCTTCCATGGTTCAATTAGCGATGTTATAACCACAGGTATGTTCAGTGTAATGGTGTTAACAAGTGTACTCTGGGGAGGAAGGGCTCTTGTTCCCTTTATTTAATCCAGGCCAATATACACTATTTACATTGTTCAGACTATTGTCCACATCTTTGTTGTCATATTTATCACAATGTTTCGGCCATTGTATGCTCTGGCCTTCTTCAGGTGGTTGGAATGTCAAACTGAACTGTTTATTTTGCTTGCTGGGGTAGACTGTTCTAGTTCCACGTGCCATGTCTAATGGATGTCAGTTATCAGTTAATTACCCTCTCTAAGTTCTCCACCGCCTTAACCAGGTATTGAACTCACACTCTTTGGGTCCTGTCACTGGATCTAACTAATGCCTTTATCCACTGTGTCATGTATCTTTTATAATACAACAGCCCTGTTTAGACTCGCATCTCACATTGTATCATATTGGTCTTACATTATTTATATTCTGACTATTGTCTTCATCTTTGTTGTTGTTATCACAATGTTTTTTGCCATTATGCCCTTCAGCCTTCATCAGAGATATTCCTAGATAGATAGTTGAATGGGAACAATTTACCCTTTTCATTTCCTGAAGGTTACTTGGAACAACAAGCACATGATAAAAGTCAGATGACACAACAACCAAAACATTGTAACAACAAAATTGAGGATAATAGTCAGAATGTAAATAATGATAACTTCACATTCCAGAAATTCAGACAGAAAATATCAATGTCTGTTATTATATTGATTATAAGTATCTGTTAATGAGAACGTATTTTTGTTAGTTTTTGCAAAATTGCTTACTTTTAGTGATCTTTTGTGTTTCATTTTTCTTTTTCTTTTTTTAGTTTACCAACAAGCAACTGGAACGACTTGCTCGAAAAGCTGAAAAAGAACAACATGCTCAACAGAACAGAGTCAAAAAAGTAAGAATTTTGTTCATTTGTTTTTTGTTTCCCCCTTTTTTCCCACTAAAAGAGAATCTCCAACTAAAATATTCACTCTTTGTGCCATTTTCTTGATCTGTGAAAACATTTGCCAAATTCTGTAGATAATCATTTGAAACTGATTCAGTTTTCAGGCCGGTGTTTAGGTCACATCTATTAGACTTTCCTAATAATTTATGATGAAATCCAAGAAAGAAGCAATAAAATATTTAAGTTTGATCCATGCAGAAAACCGCAAAGTGCAGGGGTGGTCAATAAGGATTGAAATTCATACAATCATAATGGTCCATGCGAACAAGGTGCCCTGCATAAAGCCACAAGTAGGGTGTACCTAGAAAGAATCAAACTCTCTACAGTACTAATGGTGTCCCAAGATTTGTGTGTTAATCACATCTCCATGGTGTGGTGACCAAGAAAAATAAATATAAAATGTTGGTAAACGGTTCTGCTAAGATGGAACAAGATTATGATGGCTGTTTGTATTAGTGATCAACTGAACTGATCTTTTATTTTTGACAGCCAAAATCCTCCATTGCCAAGACAACAAAGACTACATAAGGAGGAAAATTTTCTCTCTCCTCCCACTCCAATTGTAACTTTTTTGCTCCATCTCACATCCCTGATTACTTTCAAAATAATGAAGCACAAAAAATGAGCTTGTTAAAAACATTTTGATAAATTTCTGTGTAATTTCTTCACTCATCTTCTAAAGCAAGATTTTTATTTTTGCTCATCTCCTGAGAAAAACAAACATTTGCCAACAAATTCATTTTTCCTTTTTTTTTTTTTAGTTCAGTTTTATAAGGTTCAGTTTTAAATCAGAAGATTTAACATTTCCTTATAAAACCAAACTAAAAGTATCTCTTAGGATTTAGTTTGTTAGCAACAAATATATGTTCTTTCTGTGATATGTATGTGTTATGGTAATTTACTCATGCATGCATGGAATCTCCCAGCTATAAATAGGAGCAGGTACTGCCTTTTAGAGGAGTGTAGTTTCCAGCAGTCAGCTCTGATAGTCAAACCGAATATTCTTGCTGTAACACTCTCATTTGCATTACTGTTTTCCTGTTAATATATTTGTTTAACTCAATTCCTCCCTTGTGTCTTTATTTCTGGCCCAAACAACGTCCCAACTGTATTATAAAAATACTTATTATCATTTCTCATATCAATTTTATTTTGAAAAAATGTTTAAAAATTAATTTGTTTTGTCATTAATCTATAGACATTTATATTTCAAGACTAAAACAGCAGAAAAAGATTTTTGAATACAAAACCTTTGTGATTAGCATCTAATTAATCAACTCAAATAGTATATTTAAGTTTTTGCTAAGCCAACCTTTGACTCTAATTAAAAAAAAAATGAACCCTGAAATCTTTATGAAGCACTTTTTGATTGTTTTTTTTTTTTTTTTTTTTTTTCAGGCAATCCAGCAGAAGAATCTTGATGTCGCCAGAGTTTATGCAGAGAATGCCATCCGGAAGAAAAATGAATCTTTGAATTATTTGCGCATGGCAGCTAGAGTTGATGCTGTGTCCAGTAAGGTCCAAACTGCTCTTACTATGAAACAGGTAGGATGTGCTTGAAAGGAGCAAATCATGGAAAGAAAATCATTTGCATCTCAAATGACTTTTGGTCAACCAAGGAAATGATATCTTAAAATAGGTGTAGATTTTAAGATATTTATATGAAAGCAAAAAGCTTTACATTTTGGATTTTGCTGAAACAGAAAATCTAATATTAAACAACTGTGGAACACTGTTTGTCTAGTTCAGAAATTAACAAATTATGCCTTCCCCCTCCCAAGATCATACAAAACAGATTATTATTTTGAGAGAATGCTTTTGATTTTTTTAACCTTTTACCAAAAATAAAAATCTTTTATATCATTGAGGATCTCCCCTCAGATTCAAATCTATAATTAGATCTACACTGATCGATTTGCAGTTCAATTTTTGCTGACAAAGAGAGAAAGGCTATGTCTACTTTAAAATATTTTGCCTGACAATATCAGCATTTGGCATATCACACAAGAAGGCATTTTCAAATACAAGGCACATTAAATCTGCATATAAAATCATAACATTGGCTGACCGCTTCTTTCCCAGTATGTCTGTTTGCTAGTTAGAGTGGATAGCTAATCCCTCTTGCAGGTGTCTGCTCAGACACATTTGTGTTTCTTCAATACACTCAAAGCCAACCTGTGGTTTATACTATGCTGAGCAGACCATAATTGTTCTTTCTAGGAGAGAAAGAATGTATAATCTGATGTGATTAGTGGTTGAACAACAGTCGTACAATCTACACGGGCTATTTAAAATCCAACAATGTTAACGGCTTTCTAGTTGTCAGATCTGATAAGGTAAATTTATTTTCTCCTTTCCTCAAAAATCCTGATGTATTTTTCTTTACAGTCAGGTTTTTCTTTCGTTCTGGCCTAGAGACACTTGCCTAGCACACGTCATTATAATAATTGTTATTATAAAAAGCTTTTCCACTTTGTCTCATAATCTGCACTTTTGTTCAGATACTATTCTACATCCTACTAACACACACATACACACACACACACACATTTTTATATCTTTCATTAAATATGATGGACAAGGAAAATTTTATTAATTTTTTATTTAGTTTTTTCCAGTGTTCTTACATTTTTCTGTTTTGTGGGAATGCGGGTTATACAAAAATTGTTCACATTGTCCATCATCCCAAGTGCTTTTGGCCACTTCCTTAGCCATTTTCAAGGGGTTTTTGCTTTGATGTCGTTAATTTCTCTTCATGCTTTGATTGTTTAAGATGTATTTTATTCTTGTGTTGTTTTGAATACGTGTAGGAGAGTTTCTTAAAAATAGAAAGATGCTCCACTCGAATTCAAGCCGTGATCAACATGTGTAGACTTGGAATAAACATTCCTACCAGTATTCAAAACCCACACAAATAAATGAAAAGAAACTAACACCAAAACAAAACGCCTTTGAAAATGGCTAATGAAGTGACTAGAAGCACTTAGGATAATGGACGATATGGACAGTTTTTGTACTCCTTCACCCCCCACCCCCCAAACAAAACAAAAAGAGGTAGTGAAGAAAACAGCAAATTACCTTTTGTCAAACCAAGTGACAACATGTCACATGTATTCTATGATGGATAATGTGGCAAAAAAGAAAGTTACTTACCATGAAAAAGGGGGCATATTCTGTATGATATGACAAAGACAATGCTCAAATTAGAAACAAGTCAATTGCAGGTGTAGCCATAAAAGTATTTCTTATATGCTAATGTTGTGTGTCCTCTTTCTATTGTTGATGAATAAATAAAATGCTCTGTCGATAAAAGCAGTTAATGTTCTCAAATTGGGAGAAATTTGCATATTTGGCTACCATGTTCATTGGCGATTGTGTTATTTTTCTGACTGGTTACGTACATTGTGATTTGTGACATTTGACCAGCAAATTAAAATTTTGACATTTCTTTCTCCTTTCATATTCAAGTTTGAAATAGTGATTTGTTTTCTTCGTTGTGGTAGTAATCTGTGACATCAATTTCTGAACTGGAATTTTACTTCAAGCACAACAAAACTGACTACAGAATGCTGGAAAAACTAAATAAAAAAAAAAATAAAAAAAATTAATAAAATTTTCTTTATCTATCATATTTAACAAACGATGTTTAAAAGAAAAGTTGCTGCCCAAATATACATTAATTATATTGATAGAAAATAAAAAGTGTTTGCAGATTATTGAGAAAAATTTCAACCAGTAATTCTCTTCTCAATTTTGTCAACAATATTGTATTGAAAACTCAAGTCTGGGTAATTGTTCAATTGAATAAAATAACAAAACTACTTCTCAAAATAAATATAAATTTCTTTTTAATCCCAGGTAACAAAGAACATTGAAGGAGTAACAAAATCATTAGAAAAGGCAATGTCATCTTTGGATTTACCAAAAGTAAGTTTTGTTTTTGGTTATTTAAAAATCCTATTTTTCTTATTTTTCAATGAAATTTTTTTATCAAAATCATCTTCAGTCATCAACAGTTATCAAGTTTTTTGTTTTTTTTGTTTTTTTTTTTTGTTAATTTCACTTTTTGGTTAAAATCTAACTTTGTACCAGCCATGAAGCTTTCAGATCTCAGTTTGGTAAGACAGGATTCTTGAAGCAAACAAAACACAAGTTCTTGCCAAGAAATTATTTCTGATCTGTATATCAACTGTTTACTGATAGCTGTAGATTGACATTTGGATTAGTTGTGATAAAAAGAATCTGAAATTACAATGAAAGAAATAGGAGTCAAAAATTAATCATAGTTGATCGCAATTTCTTGAATAATCTGACTCCTTTTTATTTTTCATTAAATTTCTATCAATTTTGCTTTATTAATTGGATATTTTTTGTTATTGATTATTTATTTAGTTCTTGTACATAAGTTAATCTACAGCTTTTCTCGAGCATATAGAAGTATTGCCCTGCATTTTGTTTTGCATTGCATTCTTGAAGAATATAACTCTGAATCTATATTCATCTTCTACATGAAATTTTCATTGTGATTTGTCTTTCTGCAAATCTTTGTATGTATCATCCAAACATGCAGTAGAGGTTGGATTAAGCATGAAAATCTTAAAAACAAAGTGCATGACAATTGCTAAAAACAATTCCAATTTACAATCAGCAAATCACTGAAGTTACGGAGTTTGTCTATCTTGGTCACAAACTATCATCAAACAATAATGGAATGGTTGCTGTGTAGCATTTAATCACTTTCAGTTGGACAGTTTTCTACAGGAACAAAGAATTACTAACATCAAAATGATTCTCTCAGCATTTGAAGGCTAAGAGCTTTGGTACTTACTTCCAACCTGTTGTGTTATATGGTCTCGATTGTGGTAACTGGACGATAAAGTCACTTCAAAAGCTTGCTACATTCCAGAAGCACATCCTGAGACTTATGACTAATAAGCGACTCCGCAACAATATCTCTATTAATGAGCTACTCAATATTACCAAGCTTAAGCCAATCACATCAATTATCAAGAGTATTTATTTTAAACTGTATGGTCATATCAAAAAATCAACTCATGGTGTGAATAAATTATGCCTAGAAGGAAAGTTGGCCAGTAAGAGAAGCAGAGGTTGACAGCCAAAACGCTGTCTACTTATGAACTGGATTTGACCTTTACTCTTTGAACTTTGTTGTTTGTGATCAAACTCTCAAGAGTTTCATGTTAATGTGCAGTCTGCAACATGCAGAGTAAGTTACTACTACTACTACTAATAATAATAATAGTAGTAGTAGTAGTAATAATAATAGTAGGTGTGATAGTAGTAGTAGTAATAATAATAATAGTAGGTGTGATAGTAGTAGTAATAATAGTAGTAGTAATAATAGTAGTAGTAGTAGTAATAATAATAATAGTAGTAGTAATAATGTCTTTTGGCAAATGCCAAGAGAATAAATCAGCCAAAATATATAATTGCTTGAATAATGGAATAATAAGATTTCATCTCAGAATGTCAGACAATATAAAGAAGGGTGAAGAATAAATCAGATATTTTATTACAAACAACAAAAATAAAGACAATATTATTTGATCCTTTTTTGATGAAGCTTTGTCAGCCATTCTTTCATTTTCATTTTTTTTGTTTTTGTTCAACTCCTTGATCATTACCATGTGATCATTATTAATCAGTGTCAATCAGAAATATCAGTGCTTGAACTTGAATCCTTTATACTTGTCCTACCATGACACCCCTACCTTACTCCTTACCAGTTAGAATACAATGGAAACCAATTGCAGTTATTCTAATCTAACCATGTAGCTATAAACTTTAGTTGAATACCTGAAACACTACAGTCTTTGTTTACATTCAGTGGTACTATTGTAATATTTTGGTGATATCTTTTTATTTTTTGTTGTTGTTTTTCCTTTATCCCAATTTTCTACTTTTTTTTAATTATTAAACAACTTGAATCTGAACTTTATTCATAATTTCTGATTCATACCTACTTTAATATTTCTTATTTTTTTCTGACCCCTCCCCCACTCTTGTTCTTTATGGCACTGTTTTATCTATTTGCTCAGAATTATCAAATAGGTCATTGGTCACTTCCTCTATTTTTCTTCAGTGTCATGTGAGTGTTAATTTCCCCAAGTCTTCTTTTTTCATTACGAGTCCCCAAATTTTAATTTTCCTCTCGGCAACAATTTCTTTCTAGTTCCTATTTTCCTTAAAATGTACTCATTTGTCTTCATTGGTTCAAGAAAATGACTGATGCCATTCAAATGTACTCATTTGTCTTCATTGGTTCAAGAAAATGACTGATGCCATTCAAATGTACTCATTTGTCTTCATTGGTTCAAGAAAATGACTGATGCCATTCAAATGTACTCATTTGTCTTCATTGGTTCAAGAAAATGACTGATACCATTCAAATGTACTCATTTGTCTTCATTGGTTCAAGAAAATGACTGATGCCATTCAAATGTACTCATTTGTCTTCATTGGTTCAAAAAAATGACTGATGCCATACAAATGTTTGGCAGCTGAACTTCTCTATTTGTCTAGAACTAAAACTTCTATCAAAGACAGCATTACATGTTTTATGCTATATGGATTTTTCCTAAAAACAGATATTTCAAATATACTTGATTTTTTATTCTTTCTCTAAGGTTGAACAAATTATGGAGAAATTTGAGAAACAGTTTGAAGATCTTGATGTACGAACCTCAGTAAGTAAAACCTTGAATTGCTTTGTTTTTTTTTTTTCAGTCTTTTTCAAGATTACCCACAGTGAAAATAAATATGGTTGACTCTCTGCTATTTTGAATTGACATGGCTGCCAGGTTAAGTGGCTTCTGCTTCAGAAAAGGCAAATCTAGTGGATGATTGAATTTACTTTTCAGTGGACACTTTTTACATGTCACCTTTTCTGAAATTTTGAGATTAGTGAAATGTCTCATTGACTGACTCAAGAACCAGCTTGTCTTAAAGGTTGTGAATGAGGATAGAGAGGGTTAATGTGACCAATGTCCAGTCAGAGAAATAGTAGCAGACAAGACACCTGTGGCCACTTTATTTGTACTTCTCCAATAGTTCTCTTATTTTTTTCATAATGTTACCAATTTTCTCCTCAGACCCTGGAATCTTCCATGAGTTCAGCCACCACATTAACCACTCCACAAGATCAAGTTGAAGTACTGATCCAACAAATTGCTGAAGAAAATGGTCTGGAGATGATCGACCAACTACAAGACCTCAATCCAGCCACTGGTTCAATTTCATCCACAACTGCTGCTGCAGATTCCACAAGAGAAGACGAACTTGCTCGGAGGTCAGTAAACTTTTCAAATAGTATTTTTCTCTCTTCAGATAATCTGTTATATGTTTATTTTATTTTATTTTTTTTTTTTTTTTTGTAAAGTAAAATTAGAATAATTTTGTTGTCAATTCTAGGAATTCAATTAATTAATTTTTTAAAGTGATTTCTGTTATTGAAAAAGTGAAATTCAGTGTCTGTCTATATTTCTGAGATGAGGTATTATGTACACTATTTACATTGTTCAGACTATCATCCTCATATTTATCACGACAATCTGGCTGTTGTATGCTCTGGCCTTCTTCAGATGATTGGAATGTCGAACTGGACCCTTTATTTCACTCACTGGGTTAGCCTGCTTTAGTTCCACGTGCCATGTCTAATAGATGTCAGTTATCTCCTGTTAATTCCCCTCTCCACCGCATTAACCAAGTATTGAACCCACACTCCTTGAGTCCTGTCACTGGTTCTAACTAATGACTTTATCCACTGTGCCATGTGTCCTTGAGGACATCTGTGTATGAATTTCTGGGACTTATAAAGTTAATGTCTTCAGCAATAATTTTTTACCAGTGCTCATATTGCAACAAAGATGAGGATGATAGTCCGAACAGTATAAATAAAAGTGAAATTATTTCCATTTGTTACTATCATTTTTGTTACAATTGTGTGATCATAACAACAAAAATGAGAACATTAGTTGAACGGTAAATAATAATTCGTCTTAGAAATTCAGAGTGAGGAATTTAACAATCAGCTGATCTGGGATTTGAACTTGAACTTTGAAAACTCTCCGATTGTTGGACATTAGCAGACCAATATCTTTACTAAACTTCATGTATTTTGATGTTTGCTGATTTATTTTCTGCTCTCCTGAGGAATCAGTCTTCCTTGATTGGTTTTCCAAAACTGTTTGGCCTTAACACAGTCTTGTAAAAATTGAAGGGCTTCATTAACCTACACCAAATGCCAGCCACCCAGCATTATCTATTGCTATAAGAGGTGTTGCTAAAAAGTTCTCAGCCAGACCAAAATCTGACCAACTATCAGAATTTCTTTCTAATCTCTCCTTTTCAGCACCCCCTTTTGAAGGTGGTCTCTATCATTTCTTACAATAACTTATTGGACATACAAATTAATGCCCAAATGTGTCAATTAAGTCAGTGACCGTTGGCCATCCAGGATGTCTTTCAATAAAAACTGATAGTGTACAATACAGATGTCTCTCCATCATGTCTGTAGGTACAAATAAAGGTGTTTCAACTATCAAGATGCTTATAGTATGGAAGGTTGGTCTCGGATAGATGATGCAGAAGCTGAAAAAAACTCCATTGAAATCAACTTTCAAATGAACTGGCATTTGTTCATGCTACTGAACCTCAGTCCATTAAGCTTCTACAAATTTTGTAGGCGATTTTCTGTGTCTTTACTAAGACATTGGCATCTGAAGGCATGTGAAAATTCCCAGAGCAAACATCTTTGGATTATTAGCTTTAATTTGACACAAGACACAAAAGCTTTGACTAAATTTACTTATATTTATGAACTGATGGCATAGAAATGTTCACAAAATGTTGATTTGATATTTACTAATGTTCTTATATTATTTCAAGTTGTTGTTCTCATCTTGGTTAATATAGATGTTATTAAAGATACAACGTTTTGACCAAGTACCCTCTGATCATCATCAGATGTTCACTGAATTGATTAATAGCGGATATCTATTGATTTATTGTGGTATTTTGTCCCCTGTGATGTCATGGAAATAGTGCTTCACTAACTGATCCAAGGATTGAACTGGTGACCACTAAATGACAGTTAAACATGTCCTCCATGGGGGTGGGTAAGGAAGTTGGAGAGAAAGAGATTTTTATATCCACCAATAGGAAGCAATTGTTTCAGTTGTTCTCTCCATCCCCTCAGTAAAGGATTAAATTTTTATTTCCTGAAGTGACAGTTATAGAGATGCTTATTATGAAACTACCTGTAAATTCCCCAGTGTATGACTGCAGAAAAAAAAAACTCTACAATTTTATTATATTCATGATAGTCTCTTGTAAAAGTGGGAATAACAAATATTTCTCTGTTATTGATAATTGTGAAGTCGGTCTGTGACACTTAAATGTTAATTGGATTAAACTTGGGGAATATCAATTGTGATAGGCTTACATTGTATTTATATTGGAACAGAAGCCTAATTGTTAACACTTAATTCTGTTTAAGTTCTAACGATAATCTAACCCCCTTTTGTCTTTTTGGTTTTATTTTCAGGTTACAAGCTTTGAGGAACTGAATCTTGGATTTTGCCTGCCATGCTTGTTCCTTCCAGATATTGCCGATTGTTGGGGAGTCAGGTTGGTGGGGTGGAGTAGGAACCAATATGGCAGAAAGATGTACAATTTCATCTCAGAAAAGAAAAAAATCTATATTATTTGCTGTCCGCCCATTGTGGAATTGTTCCTTTTTTTTTTTTTTTTCTTCCACATAAACAATATTTCCGTTTATGTTTTATATGGAAATACTTTTAAAAGTTATTAAACCCTCCCCTCACCAAATAATTGTTAATATTAATTTACTAAAAAGAATTTTTTTTTAAAAATGGTTGATCCATTGACTTTGACTAAAACAACTTGGAAATGCCTGCAAATATGAAACCTTCCACAAATGATTTTTTTTTCATCTTTTGAAAGTGTCTTAAGGCCGATTTTTGTGTGCATGCGCACCTCTCCCCCTTCCCCCTACCTCTCTCCCTTCCTCCACTACCCACCTCTCTCTTCCTCCACTACCCACCTCTCTCTTCCTCCACTACCCACCTCTCTCTTCCTCCACTACCCACTTCTCTCTTCCTCTACTACCCACCTCTCTCCCTCCCCCCACTACCCACGTCTCTTCTTCCTCCCACTACCCACGTCTCTCCTTTCCCTTCTCTTTCAATAGACAGCCATCTATTTTCCTTTTCTAAAACTAATAAAAAGAAAAGGAAATTCCTAAAGTTTGATTTCAGATTTGTTAAAAAAAATAATTAATTACATTAATTTTGAATTTCATCAAAATAGTTTTTTTGCTCAAAAAAAGTAACAAAAAAGTTTAAACATAATTTATATTTTCTTTTTAAAATAATTTTTCTCAAGGCATAAGCTCTATTTAAAACCAAAAAAATCAGAATTCTGTTTTAAATTGTTATTTTTATTTAATTTTTTCTTTTTTTAAGAACTAAGAATTGTTTTTTTTTTTTTTTTTCTAAGATTCATCACTAAATTATAAAACTCATTTAAATTTCTTAGAATTTTTTATTCAAATTTATTTAGCAATTATTTTTTAAATTCTTTTTCAACTATTCTCATTTTAATATTTTATTCTAAATGGTACTTTGCCAGACTTTCTTTCCTAATAGAAAATATTTTCTGAACACACTGTTAAAGTAAGTTAAAATGATATCATCTGTAATTTTGAGGAGTCATCATCATAGGCATGGTTCGGGTAATTCATTCTTTGCTTTTTTTTTTTTTAATTTTTAGCTGTTAACATTTCAGCAGATTCATTCTCTAGCCTTCTTCAAGTGTTGAATCCATAAGGAAAGAGAAGGGCAATATGTTATTTTTCTGCCTGCCATCACTTTCTCTCTTCCAGATGGTATGTGTAAAGAAGGCTGTAGAATAAATCCGTCAAAATAGTGGTAACAACAAAAGCAACGTAAAGTGCATGTCTGAATGTCTAACACTTGAAAAGTTAAAACTGTTTTTATAATTTAATTTAGTACTTTTACATTTGTTCATTCATTAAAATACCGTTCTTCACCTATTACTATTTCCCTCAAGACCTGGATGTGGTCAGGGCATATCAATAAATGAACAAAGACTGTTATAGATAACTATGTTTGCCCTGCTGAAGAAATAAGAAAATTTGATGTATGAATGAAAACACCCAAATCAAGTGACTAAACACTTAAGCTGTTTTTTTTTTTAACATAAAAAACCTGTTAGAAACTGCTTATCTCAAGTTGACTTCTGCTTTCCAATATTTTCACCCCTTGTTTTATTTCATTCTAAGTTTTTATTGCATTTTATCAATTTATCATTTACAATTGATATTTTATATCATTAAAATCTTTGTCCAAAACTTTTTTTTTTTCTTTTAATCCAAACTAAAAACAAGGTTTACAGGTTCATCTCTGCTAATCAGGGAAAACTGAGGGATCAGTTTTAAACTAGATGAAAAAAAATATGGTTGAAAATATACTAAGCAGACTGAATTGTTGTGAAAACTCTTTTTTTCCTCTGTAATATTATTTTCATCGTAATTTGCAATTAAAAGCTTTCTTGAAATTTTGCTTTTGCCTTTCATGTTGAGGCCAGAGTTGGTATGTTCCACATCAATTTGGCATCTTTTCACGTTATTTGAAGAGGTTGGGGGGGGTGTAATAAAAAAAAAAAGAAAAAGAAGTCATTTCTCTGTAATAGAATAATTCAAATATTGTTGATTGTGTTATTCACACAAGTGTTCTTATTTTTGCAAATGTGGTCATCTACATTACATATAATGTTGGTTATTGTTTATTTCTCTACAAGATTTTAGAGTATCACTCACACTGTGGAGCCAATTAAGCCTCAGCAAATTTTGAGGAGGTTTCGTATCAAAGACTCATCACTGCTGGAAAACAAAACCACAGAGCAGCACAGGCAGCGATTAAGGCAACAGACTTTCAGTGCCTGCACCATTCCAGACCCTGCGCCACCTGAGGAGAGCTATTGCAGAGCTATTTGTGAATTTGGAAATAAGTGTTTGATAAAAGCCGCCTTTGGGGTCACAGAACAACTCAAGCCAGTTAACTCCCTGCCCAAATATTGATACGTGACGTACTCACTATTCTGGATTTGTTACATGTAATGATTAAGTAGTGTTAGTTTATTACATTTTTTTGTTTTTAGTTTTTTTTAATCGTTTCACTCCCAGGCAAGGCAACAATGTCAGTGGAAACAGAGTTGGAGTGAATGAGAAGATTGAAAATGGGGAATATTGAGGAAAGAACAAAAAAAAAAAAATGAACAGAAGATGGCAATTGACGTTACATTTAAATTTTTGAAGGGAAGGAATCAAATTGGAAGTGAGTTCTGCAGGCAGGAAGTGCAAAAAAAAATGGTAGAAATGACGTTAGAAGGAAATAAACTGAATCTATTTGATGACTTCAGTTACCTTCTTGTTTTGATTCAGTTAAGTGAGAATGACACGGAAATTAGAATTGAGAAATCCTAGGCCACATTAAACAAAATGGAAAATAGTATGGTAGTTGAATTTTCAAGATATCTGAAAATAAAATTCTTTCAAGCCACAATTGCTGAAAGCTGGACTTTCTCAAAGAAGATGAGTTATTATCTTGATGGAATATGCATGAGCAATGGTCAGGGTTATATTTGATGTATTATCAAAAGGATGCAAAATAAACCCGGAACTCTATGGAAAACTACAAAGTGTGACAGAATCACTATGGATTAAAAGACTACCAATTCATTGGATACAGAAAAACTGTTAAGTAAAGTATTTGTGAGAGTCTAAGCATGGAAAAGACGTGGACCAACAAAAACTTGTGGAATAGATAAGAAATGCAACTGGTTTTTAAGGAGTGAAGAAATAATGAAAATCATGAAGACAAAGAAGAATGAAAGAAATTTGTCAATTGTGTTTCAGTTTACTCAAAATAGATTTTGGGATCAAGGGCAGAAAAGGGTTAAAAAAAAATTTATATATTTTAACCAATTTTAATTTGACTGTTACACTATTTATAATGGAGATGTTTTACCAAAATGCGTATTGGACAAATCAAGCTGCACTTAATGTGAGAAATTTCAAACAACTTTTCCAAAAGAGAAATTGGTTGACTGAAAGCTACTCTGTGTATGTGCACATGTGTTTGTCTATCTCTTCTTGTACACACAAAAATTGAGAAAAGGACTTTTTTTTTTCTTTTCTTTTTTTTTCTATTTTTCTTTTTTTTATTGTTACTCTTTGTCAGAAAATCTTAAGGGCTTTCATTTTACATCAGTATGATAAATAAATAATTATCCAGAGAAAATTTCTGGAAATCTTATACACAATTGCCATTCCATAGCTGGATCATAGAAAATAGACTTTCTGCTTTCAGTACAGGCATGAAACTAACAATCCCTTCCCACCTTTTTTTTTCTCTCTTATGAGCATAACATTGTATTTTGGTTTTATTTAAATAGCTTTCTAAACGCAGCTTAGTGACTCCTTTCTCCAAATCATAAAATCTATTCATGTTTATCTATCCAAGTTGGCATGGCAACTTCAGTCAAGTCCTATTTCTGCAACATTCTTTTCATTAGTTCTTTCATTTGATATCATGCAGACATAACTTTATTGTTTTCATTATATCAACAAAAAAAAAAAAAATTCAGTCTTTTGCATTTCAACAACTTCAGAAGTCAATTCTCACTTTGTTAGGAATATTCATCTTCTTGCCAATTCTCTAACATTTTGCAAAGGACAAGTTATACAAAGTGCAACATAGTTGTATGTGGCTAAATACTGGTTCTGGTAAATACATTCCAATCTTGGTGATAGGCTTCATTTATTGTCAAAACAATAGATATTGTTTATCTGTCAAATACTTAATCAGCCTACAACTTCAATCTACTTTGGAGGATTGATGCTTATGTAAAGAACTACTTGACTATTTTTTGTGTTCCACCATGTTGTACCAGTGACTACTAATAGAATATAGGTAAAGACATATTTATTGATAAGTTACAAGATGACAATAACAACAGGCATGAACAATTTGTTTTTTTTTCCTTTTAACAAATCATGAAATATATTTAATTTTTAGGCATTAAGTATTTACAAGATAATTTGTTTAAGTTTAGAGAAATGAAATCCGTTATTCCTTGATGAGAAAAGCTTAAAAAGATACAATTTATATTTCATAAGTGCCAGGACCGCGCAATAAAAATAATTGGATTCGGAGAATTTCTGTTCTCTTTCTGCATCCTCTTGACTCTATTACAGGAAATGAATATACAGAGGTCTCTGCAGTTGGTGTTATATGATTGTTCCCCTTACTCGTTAGCCGAGAAATTTGAGGCAAATTCATGTGATTTTCAAAAATGTTTATATTTGATGAGAATTGCAGGTAATTCCAATGTTAGGTACATTATTTACATTATTTGGACTATTGTCCTCATCTTTGTTGCCATATTTATTACAACGTTTTGGCTGTTGTACGCTCCAGCCTTCTTCAGGTGATTGGAATGTCAAACTGAACCCTTTATTTCG